TCCCAATTTAATAGTTAACTGTGGTTTTACCTCAGCTTACTATTCGGTTTTTTTCAGTTTTTCACGTAAAGGCTAGTTCATTTTATCTCATCCGTTTTTATCCATTTTTCCCGTTTTTAGTGTATTTTTAAAGGTCTTAAGCTTTGATACTATCTCTAACACAGTTTACGCCAATACAGCCATGAAAAATTCATGCAAACGACATGGATTCCGTTTCGCTGTTACATCTGGCATGCAGTGCGACAACTGCAAAGGTTGGTTCCACTAAACGTGCACAGATCTTACGGCAACTGCTTTGGACTTGGGACTCAGCAAATCGGACCGTAAGTGGGCGTGTGTTACGTGCAACACGGACGCTGTAGTACTTCTGAGCAACATCATTGTTGTACTGATAGGTCTGCGGAACAAATTGTCAGTAAACTTGGAAACAGATAGCCATAAAGTAGGTAGATAAACAAGGGCGCGCAACGAAAATAAGAATAGGGATGTTGATAAGTCAACCATCGATGGAACACGCATTAGCACTAATGATGAAATGTTGAAACTCAGCACCATCATTACATCGACGGTAATTGACTCCCTCACTAAACTTGGATCTCCCAGTTCAGGATCCTTAAACGCAACAGTGATTCCTAAAAACTCTGCAGGTGACTGTACCCACGCAAACAGAGCTAATAAGGACCAGGTGTCACCGTCTAAGGTTGACATCCCAAGTGTTGTACGGACATCAACTGGTGCTTTGACCGCTCAGTCTACCCCCAAAAACGTCCGCCCGGTTATCAAAAAGCCTAAGACTCAAAAACCTGCTTCGACCCACAAACAACAACGTGCTGAACCTGAACGCGCCGGAAAACCTGGGAAAACAACAACGGCCCATGGCGACTCTCTCATGATAATGAACCTCATAGACAATCCTGACCTTCCTCTCAGTTCGCAGGACAAAAACGACAGGATGCTCTGAGGTGAACTGAACAAAAAGCTCAAACTTCCTAGAATAGAGCCTTTGACAGTCACACGGCTCAGTCGGGGAAAGGAATCTAAACATCAAAATCACCCGAGACTACTTCGTGTAATACTCAAGAATGCTACAGAAGTAGAGGACGTCCTGCTAGCTAATCATCTACTGAAATCCGATGGGAACGTCAGAATACTGCCCGACATACCGTACTATGAGCGCAATCTCATCCGGAACGTCTCTAAAGATTCTCGACAGAAGTTTTTCCGCGGAAGAAATATCACCGTGCAAGCTGTACCGGAAAACATGGACCCTACTCAAGCAAACTCTGATATTCGGGAATGGAAATTCATCAAACAGAGTTTGAGGCTTAAAAACATACTGACTCAGCATGTGATGAGACTAGCCAAGAAGGACGGGGATCCTAGACCCCGACTAATGAGGATAACTTTTCCATCCACGCATATGGCGGCTGCAGCTCTGGAAGCATTTCGTGTCAACAGACGTCGGTTGCTAACTGGGATCCACATGCATCCCGACAGGCCATACAACGCCAGGATCAAGCACAAAGGCAAGCCGGAGCTGATCATTCCACTTGTGGACTGTCTTCAAGATAAAAAAACGTGTAAAGGACAGGGCCTACCAATTAGACAAAACTTGTATAGGTAAGTTACCTGTCCACTCACGTAAGGCTCTCACAGCCAAACAGGAAGAAGCTCACGCGTTTCAAATTGAGAGCATTAACTGCTCATACATGAACGCCGCGAGTCTATCAAATAAAATGGATGAACTAAGCGAACTTTGAAACGCTAATAAGGTTCATATGATAGGAATATCTGAAAGTTGGATATCTCCTCAGTATTCGGACCAGGAGCTGGCGATACCTGGGATGTCTCTGTTTCGCAATGACTGAAAAACAGGAATTGGGAGTGGAGTAGCTCTATATACACGATCTGGCTTGGAGGTACACCAAGTTCACAACCATGAGTTTGACAATCTTGAGGAATCCATATGGTGGTCTATGAGATTGTCCATTACTTCAAGGTGCCTAGTCGGAGTCATATATGGAAGCCCACTGCCAACATCGAGTATGACAGTCACATGCTGTAAGGACTATCCCGCTCTACGCGTCTCGGCTTCACTCATATCCTGATTCTGAGGGACTTCAATCTCCCTAGAGTCAACTTCGCGGAACATTCGTATAATGGAGGTGAAAATTCAATTGAGGCTCGGTTCTTCAACCTCATTGAGGACTTGGGACTACACGAAAATGTGAAGTTGGCTACTCGTTTGAGGAATAGTCAGACACCGTCGCGCTTAGACTGTGTTTTTACAAATGAAGAATTTCTAGTCGTCAACCTCTCAATTCTGGCTCCCCTGGGGAAAAGCGATCACGCCATTATAGCCTCCAGTTTTATCAGCAAAACTGAGCTAAGATATCCCAACAACAACAGGCGCTGGAATTTCAAACGGTTGAATGCGTCAGCCCTACAGGAATATCTACGACAGGTGCATTTGGATGTTCACCCTCAACTTGATGTGGATGCTCATTGGAACTTCCTATTACACACGCTCTTAGGTTCCTCAAACGGTCCTCGAAAGCCACATGCAACCTACAATCATCAAAAACCGCACTCTTCGTTTGCTAAGCCGTAAAAGGCACTGTTGTGCAGAATACAAACGAACCAACAACAATGGCGAGTACAGGCAATGCAAACATATACGGAATATATGTACGAAGGCTATAAGAGAAGACAGGCTCCAGTACCAGTTAAAGCTTATGGATAAATTTATTTCCAATCCAAAAAGCTTATTCCGTTACGCAGCCTCTCTTCGCCAAGCCAAAACTGGAGTTTCTCAACTGCTAGGTCCTAACGGCCCGACCGATAATGACGGTGACGCTGCTAACCTCCTGGCTGAGCAATACTCCCGGACATTTCAACCGTCCCACATCAACTACACGGATGACGGCTCCATCTGCAACTGCACAGGACTTTCCGTAGTGAAACTGAGCGCTGACTTGGTGTTACGTAAACTACAACACCTAAGAACAGACACTACTCCTGGTCCAGATATGGTCCACTCTGCTATACTGAGGGAAGCAGCTTCAATCCTGGCAACACCGCTTAGCGTGATGTTCTCACACTCGCTAAGTCAAGGCAAACTACTGGATATTTGGAAGCTGGCTCATATCACACCAATCTTCAAAGGCGGTGGACGCAGCGAACCTTCAAGTTACCGATCGGTGGCTCTTCTCTCTATACCTTCAAAGATCATGGAGTCCCTGGTATACGATGGTATACACGACTATAATAATATATTTCCGCTCATGCAGAAATATATTATTATTATAATTATTATTATCTGCTGTACTTAAATTTCTTCTCACCTCAACAGCATGGTTTCAAGAAGGGTTACTCCTGTATGATGAACCTGCTGACCGCGGTGGACAGATGGACAAGCATCGTTGATCGCAAGGGGAAGGTGGACATCATTTACCTTGAATTCTCTAAAGCTATTGATAGGGTTAACCACATCTGTCTTATTAACAAGCTCAAACAATTGGGTATCAAACCACCTTTAATTAACTGGTTCAGTTCATATCTGACAAATCGACATTTTAAGGTCAAGGTCAACTTCACCTTCTCTCAGGCTATGGAATGACCTTGTGAGGTCCCCCAAGGTTCAGTACCAGGATCTCTTCTCTTCTTGATTTATATAAATGATCTTCCTCAACAAGTATTGTCAAACTTATTACTTCTTGCTGATCACGTGAAACTTTGGAGAGAGATACGCAACCACGAGGATATACTGGCACTTCAGGAGGATCTGACTCGATTTCGAATTTGGGCAGACGATAACGGACTTACTTTTAACACCTCAAAGTGTAAAGTAGTCCATCTGCGACACGTCGCAGATTACAGTTACAACTTAGGAAACTCCTCTCTAGTAGTATACCTAGTCGAAAAAGATTTAGGAGTTCTGGTGCCCTACAACTTAAAGTCATACGCCAACTGTGACAGAAATGCCTTTCGAGCAAACCTGGCACTGGCAACATTGAAGCGCATTTTTGGTCAGTTTGACGGGAGAACATAATCTTCAATAGTTTCATTCGTCCCTATTTGGAGTACGGAAACATAGTATTCCCTCCTACACTCCAAAAGGATAAGGACACTCTGGAGCGTCTCCAGCGGCGAGCCACGAAATCAGTTCCGGTACTCAAATTTAAACATTATGATGAGCGCCTTCAATCACTCGACCTTTACCCATTAGAGTATAGGCATCTTAGAGGTGATCTTCTAATGGCTTACAGTATCCTTAACACACCTGGACATCCACTTAAACATCTACTTAAGCTTAGTCCCAACACTAACCTAAGGGGTAACACCCAGAAATTAGAGATACAACATAGTAGAACGGACTGCAGGCACAACTTCTACTCCTTAAGAGTTGTCAAATGATGGAGTTCGCTGCCAACAGAGCTAGTCCAAGCAACTTCCCAGGAGTCTTTTAAGAGGCAACTTGATATATTCTTAAGGACTAAGGATAGTATCTTACTATGATTTAACAATTCATTTTTTCTCTTTTATCGTTAATATTATTAGGTTCTTGCCTGGAGGTATCGGTGATCCCCTGCTACTAGACACGGAAGCCTGTTAAGCGAAAGCTTCTTCTATTCCGTCCACAACCATTTGAACCATTAATGATATCACACAATTATTACCACGGAGTGCGAATACATCCTGGTTTTTCTTTTGAGGTCTAGGTTCGATATTCTTTATCTGTTAAAGCTTTTAATACAACTTCCAAAGAGACCTTAGTAAGTAATATTCTTAAAGACTCGAAACAGTAAAACAAACTTATTTACTTTTGCTGTCATGAGTTCTGTTCTTTTTATATAAGTGAGTCCCTACATGAAGGTACTAGTGATCCAGTGCCACTGGAAACGAATGTTAGTTGAGCGGAAATTTCTATTATTTGGCCGTTAATTGAACTATTTAGAAACATGTCCTTTGGTAGCGCACTATTTGTATGTGAACGCTACGATTTCATCGTTATACGTTTCCACGTCTAAAGTATATAGACAATTTTCAAGCATAATAACGCATCTTAAGGAGACTAGACCTGTTAAAAGTCAAATAGAAAAAACTGTTTATTTGTCTTACTTCGGGTTATTTGTTTACTAGCTCAGATGAAGAGAGTTTTTCAATTTAAACTCCAATACGACCCATAAGATTGGTGTGTCAGACTCCAAGTGAGTGTTTTCTTGCCTTATAATTAATGAGTGACGTTTGGCGACACTATATTAGCGAAGCAGTTGGCTTTCAGCCGTGCAAATAGCTATTTTCCTGGAAATTTTATTACAAATAATTTTTTCATTGTGACTCACTCGTTTTGATTTTTGGAATACAGCTACTATTCAACCGATTTGTAACACACTAAATCAGTTTGGAGCATCAATTGACCACAAGGGCTCACATATGACTTCGTCAATTCAACCGTTGAACTTTTCAAATCCAACCTCATCTTTTACGAAACGCTCTGCTAGTATCAGATTGACTGCGAAGTCATCTGTTTTGTGTTCGTGCAAAAAAAACCACTTTCGCTTCCTTTTTATTGTTGAGATTTGAGGGTCTTTGGTAGCCCCGTCGATTTGACTCAACGTACCGCTTAGCCTTTCATATAATTACGGACTGAACTCACGTAAGTGAATAACAGGATGATTACGAGAATGAACTTCGAACACGTATTATTCATACACGAGAAACTACGCAGAGAAGCAGGCCGGAAAAGGCGAACATTCCCACTCGCTATACTACTGATTACAACCGTTAATATAGTTCAAAATAGATAATGCGTATGTGGTAAAGAGAAATGCATTTGATAAAATAATATGTGACGAATATACGCGCAAGGCACATAAGTGTAGAAATAGAAGGACATAAAAGCAAGATATGTATGTATACTGACGGTCATAATTTCCTATGAAAACAATAGTTATTATAAAGATAAAAGTGACTCAATGGTCACATGCTGTCTGAGTTTTATTTATCCGTAGGAAATACATTTCTTATTGATTTAGCACCTATAATGCTGCCCGGCATTTTTAATTCATAGGTCTGAGATTGCAAAATTACCTCCGAGAGCCATGTAAGATTTTTAAGGTGTAGCTCAAAACTAAATACATAAATTTGCAATCTGTCACTGAGTCATGTCATCTTTTTGTTTGTGTTTTAGATTGCTTTTGCTATCTGTAACATTAAGAGCTGCAAGAATGTCAACATTCTCACCTTTGTGTTAGCTTTTAATTCTATATACATCCTCTTCTGGTGTATGGAACTAGCTATGAAGTTACTGACAAAACTCCTGCTTCCAAGAAATTTTTTATTTTGTTTCTATCAGCGATTAAGGTATAGTTTCACTTTAGGTTAGTCATAAGCACTAACTCTATTGATTTGGTATTCAATCTAAACTAGTTTGACATTGTGAGTAACACGATGTGATTTTAAACTAATTGTTAGGCTCTGTACACTTACACATACACGTTCAATGTTTCCAGCTTTGTGCTAAAGGTAGGTTTATTGCTCATAAATGTCGATGAAATCCGGGTTGGAAAATTTCCGAGTAGAATGTAATCCTACGCACTATAAATTCAGTATTTGTCGAAGTTCAATAATGTTGGACTTGGAAAGATGATAGGCGACTGTTAATATAGATAAAATGATTGTAATTCCCTGATAATCATCAATAAACAAGCTCGAAATCTTTGTTTTTGTGAATTCATGAGTTTGTCAAGAAAAAATATAGAATCCGAATCACACTTGAGCGGAAATCGTTTGTGAATATGAAAACGTAAAGAATATCTAAGATCACTCAATATTCCACTTGCTTCCTAAAAATATAGATACTGATTTGATGACGGTCGGACACCAAAACAACCACTTTCTCATATTTGGATTCTAGATAGCCGAGCAATAAGTTCAAACTCAACAGTGTATGAGTCGTATCTGATGGGAAGCAACCTACAACCTGTTAATTAACTATAGACCTTTTTAGTGGACTAGTCTGTAGCTATGGTATGTGATCACTGTCCAAGTGTGTGGCGAGAAGCTTGTGGTCAGAATTTGTAGTCCATGAGTTTGGTGGGCAACCCAACCATTATCTAAATTGTAAACTTTCATTTTCGACTTTGAAAAAACAACATATTTGTTGTACGATCGAGGTAGTAACTCAGTCCACTTATCATGGCAATACCTAGACAGGCGGAAAAATGATATTTAATGGTAGCTTATCATATAATCGCACTTTTAAAACCATTTTGAGACGTTTGATTATATTTTACTTACTTTTACCCATGTTTCATCAGTGATTTAGATTCGCTTAGGCCTATGATACAGCTGACTTCACCAACTCTTCTACTATGATTATCATACCCGATAATTCACGCAAAATGGACTCTTTGTCGATCTCTTAACCAGGGCTATCCATGAGAAGACAGGATGTTGAAGAGAGACCCTGTATTTCCGGAAAGGACAGCAAAGAATCTAGCTGAAGTTCATTTTATGTATAGTATTGTGCAAGACGAAGAACTCAATAAGAATATGCGTTAGTTACTCATTATCTCCGAGTCACAACAACATTACGGTGTAGAGGTCCACAACAACAATTTGTGTTGAGATAATCTCAGCAAACAATACTACTGGTTAAAGACAACTCTAACCAAAAAGGATGAAAAATAAGTTTAGGGCTGGTCCAAATTTAATAAACTGTAGTGGTTATTATATCCCTTAATTTCTATACTGAAAAGAAAATGAAGCACTTTGCGTTACTAAACCTAATTGTGGCACTGAAAATATTCAATGATGTATTAAACAGCATCATTTGTGCATGCTTTGTAGGTAAATATAATTTAAAAATCATCTGCAGTTAGTTGACATTACTTAATACAACTGAGCAACCAAATACAGCACTACATGCTAGGCTTTATAACAAAGATACTTAAAGAGGGAGGAATGCTATCTGATTACTGCTGGGTTGATCGAGGTTCAAACCTACAATAAAATGGTCGAACCTCGAATACTTAAATCACTTTCCCTCTAGCTCACAAACTAGTTTGGTAGTACGTTGTAACATACTTTAATGGAATTGATAATTTTACCCGGGCTTTCTTAATTGTTTCTTTCTCATCTTCATCCATAATTTGATCACTAAATTAGTTTTATATTTTTCGTCTGGCTCGTTTTAAATGTTGATCCTTCTGAAGATATGTATTAATATCCAAATTTAAGGATATGAAAATCATTTAATGTTATCAAAGTTTGCTTAGTCGAGCAGGAAAATTTGTTTCTCAGTTCTACTCACCCTTTTGCATACGTATAAAAGCTGACCGATGGGGTTGTTGAATGTATGTAAAGATGGAAAATGATTATTTGGTCTAAAATGGTTTATGAATTCAAAACATATCGTTCATTTTTATCATTTGTAATGTTCCATCTTCTCCGCTTTGTATTTGAACACTAGTATCTGAAAAAGTCCAGGTGTAGTATTATAATGCCGAGTAACGATTGTTGTATGTCTATTCTTTTAATTTCATGACACTGTTGATGGCGAAACATAAATGTATCAAAAAATATTGTATCTGTTATAAATGTTCATGCCAATTCTTTTGGTGAAAACAGGTGATATTTGCGTCCCACATAAATGCAAAATGGTAAGGTTTGTTTTTCATCGATGTATTTTAAATAATGCTGAATGTAACTAGTATTATCTTACTTTACTCCATCGTGAATGTGAATGAGAGACTTTAGGGTTTAATTATGTTGAATTATGAAGTATTGCATATTTTATTAGTTGCATGTTAATCCTCAGTAGGTGAGACTTTATTTTTTTATCAGTTTTTACTTTTAATATATTTAGTCTTTACACAAATCCGTGTTGGTATTTTGAAGTTATTTTTTGAATTCTTCAACATTAGTCTTCTAGTTTGCGAATATTTTCTCTAGATAAATAAAAATTTAGGGTTTTTCATTGTGACACTACTTGTCATAGATGATGATTGCTTCGTTTGTCTCACTTCGATATTTGGTCTGAATATCGGTTTTGTTTCTACATCTAAGATCTTTCAGAAACTTATTCTTTTAAGTGAATGTACAATGCTCTGTTGAGACTCAGGTGAATAATTAGACTTAGATGTTTTGTACGTCTCTCTTATCAGAAAGTTGTAGCCATCATAGCGTACGAAAATGTTTTAGTCAAGTAAAGTTTGTTTTTAAATATATCATTATATGCAAGTAAATATCCAAAATATTTGATTGAAAAGCTGCTTTCAATATCCCTTAACAAACACACTAGTTTGTTAACTACTGGTTAGCGATCACGAAGTCATTATAATCAGATGGTGGTAAATGATTTCGAGAAGATGGAAGCATAGCCGAATGGACTTAAACAATTTTTATGTGTTGTCTGAGCATTCTTAATTGCCAATGAATGTTCCATGATCATGTTTATTGAATTCACGAATATTTCTTAAATAAGTTGAGGATATTATAGAAAGATGTGTATAAGTGAATTGATAGAAAATACTGGACACCTCATTGCTAGATATGATTAGATGATTGCCAAGTTAATATCTGCAAATCCAAATAACAGACCATCTTCAAAAACTTCATCCATGAATGAAGATCAGTTAAAAGTACGATCCACTGTTTTATTCCATACATTTATGAACTTAGAAGAAAAAACTTGATAACTTTTTCCGTGAATGACCAGGATACATTGTTCATATTCAATGAAACTATTTACTGAGGGGTTTTCAAGTCAAAAAGTAATATACTTTACAGATAATTTCCATATTTAATAACTAAAAAGCAGTAAAGTACAATATGTACCATTGAAAATATTATTAAATAATAAGGAACTAGTTAAATATATCATGTTTACAGGATGTAGCCATTAGAATAGACAGTATAAATGATACCATAATATATTGCATGAATCTCATTTACATGTTACGGTACAGCTTCATACCTTGTATGACGACTATTTGAAATTCATATGCCGTTAGCTGCAGAATTTTGTCATCTAGTAAAAGTTTAGGTAAATTAAGATATCAAAAAAAAAATACAGATAGGTTTTTTTAATTTCTCAGGGAACGGTGCTTTGTCGAAAAATTAGTTTTAGTATATAATTATGATGGCTATGTATCAGCTACGTAATTATTATTTAAAAATGTTTATTTATTTATTAAAAACACATAAACATTGGTACAAGGAGGCAGTCAACCATGAAACATAGTAGAACTTTACTTACTAAACGATCCATAAAATACTTTTCCCCCATGGATTCATTAGCTGTAAAACTTTAACTTCTAGTGGGCTCAACAGCTTTGCCCCGAAATGCCCTGGTACAGCCGAGGGTGGGGAGAGTCAGCTCTCTCTCAAAATGCTGATCACATTGCCTCGCGTATACAGGCACTAACAGGAAAGTCCTACTCGATACCTTCTCGTGACGGGGGTGTTGTTTACGAAATTGAGAGGACAAAAAGCGAATGTGCGGCACTTTAACCGGATTGTCGGATATGAAGGATGCACCCAGGGAGGTTGAAAAGCCCTATTTCCTGGTCAATGGTGCACATTGGCTCCAGGATTCTGAGGGAACAAATGACATGTGAACATATTGTTGATCACAGGCTACCATAAGACTGCATCTCCCAACGTTACTCCACCACCTTGTGGATTAGGCCTTCAGGTCAAAGGCTCTGGGTGTGGCTCCCTAAGAAAACCATTCGCTTTAGTGTGGGTTCCCGGGAAGTATGTTGACTCTCACACAAATCGAATGACGAAGTTTAGCGCATATATATTTGGTGCCTCCTTGTACCAATGTTTATGTGTTTTAAATAAATGAATAATGAATTTTATAACATCCTCCTGTATTCTGGTTATAAGTACATCTAGTTAACCACTTACACGCTATAGTTGAGGAACTATCTGGTCGTTTAATCCTTAACATCGTCATTTTTTAAATCTTCAGAAACCTATATTTCACATATTCTTACATGAAAAACTTACATTGTAATGTCACACTTCTCCGACAACTCAGTATGAATGTACTTGACTGTGACACTTTATGAAAGGTTCGAGTTTTTTAAATGTTAAGAATGAGCCATACTGTTGAATCCCGACTAGCAAAAAATCTATGCTTTGAAGTCCATTACCGTTTCCTCTACTCACACAGTACCGTTTTATTTTGTCAGATTTTTATATAATGGATAGGATTTCATGGTTACAATGCTTGCATAAAAATGTTTCACTAGTCAGACTTTCTGCTAAAATCCTACGCTTTTGAAGTGTCCCATAAATTTTTATTGAGTAGACATTGATTTTTTAACATTTAAGTCACATTACTGTTCTACACTATAATTATTCAGGT